ATTTAATTTTTTAAACTAACAAGGTTTTTTTTCCTTTTCCACTCCATCTTTTCTCCAACTGTGCTAACCTAGGTGGCCTCTCCAGTTCCTCTGAAAGCCGTCCTGTGGTGGTTCGCTACACCAAGGACCAGCGGCCCACCACCCTCCCCATCCAGCCCTTCACCTTCCACCACCAGTTCGCCTCCAAGCCCCCGAAGCCGAAGCCTCTGCTGCCCCTGCTCACAGGCTACATCTCTGAGATGCAGGCCCGCTCCGGCTCCAGCTCCAGCTCTGGCTCTGGAGGTCCAGCGGGGGAGGAAAGTGAAGATGCAGAAGAGAATGTTCACCGGTACCAAGGGGCTGCCGCAGCCCCTCCACCTGGAGCGGTCCGACCCTCACCTCTCGGGAGCTACTCCCCTGTGCGGCTGCAGGGGATGCCCAGCTCCGGGTCCTGCTCCACCTGCACCCCCAGCCCTCAGCCCACACACAGCCTCTCCTGCCCCCTGCACAGCCCGCCCACAGGAAAGCATGGAGGGGGCTCAGGACCGTTACTGCCCACCCCTCCATCTCCATCCCTGGGGGTGAAGAGAGGGAATATGCCCCCAATGCTGCCAGCGGTGCAGGGACACTGTTTCCATCATGGAGCTCTGCAGAGTTTACCGGCTCTTCATAGCGACTCGCTGAGCCCGATGGGATGTGTGGACTCTCAAGTGGAGGGAAGCAAAGGATCCGGAGCCAGGACACATAATGGTAGGTTCCACAAGATTATTAAAAAACTATATATTCAGGGGGTGTTCTCATTGAATAAGCATCGTATTTTATTATAGATCCTTCCTGACTATTTGACAAAAAAAGAAAAGAAAACCATGACAGCAGGCCTGGACTTGAGTCGGCCTAAATTGCCGATTTTCGTGACTCGTGCCTCGCCTCTGACTCTCACACTGATGACTAGGATTTGAACTCGGACTTGTGAATTCTCGCGCATGATTACACTGACTTGTACATTGATTGTCGGTATTGTACTCTAATTAAGTCAAGTTTGGTGTTGTGCACATCTGCCCCAGATATACTCTGCCCAAGGTGCGGGTACCTGCAAATTCACCTGCAAACCGCGCCCCCCCCCAACTATTCCCAGCTCAAAGTGATTCATAGCAGTTAAATACACAAATTAGTATAACATGGATAAGGACAGGATAAAAGCAATGCAGACACAACAAATATTGCTTGATAAGAACCAAATCAACAGCTACCTTTAAACAAATATATCCACTCCGAGTAATACATGATGACCTGGGCTTGTGACTCGGGCTCTCCTTGGTGGCTCGGCTTTGGAGTCAGACTTGAACACAGGTTATGATGACTTGACTCAGACTCGACTTGGACTCTTGTTGGGTGACTCGGACTTGGACTTGGCTTCAAACATAGGGGACTCAATAATTGGTGATTTGACGGCAACACTGCATGACAGACTCACACACACACACACACAGACACACACACACACACACACACACACACACACACACACACACACACACACACACACACACACACACACACACTGATCAAAGCTTCTCTGCACAAACCACAGGTGGTTTTGTTCGAGGCGATGCTTAATATTTTGTTGACATTTTTCCCCAGCACTTGTTCTCATTGCTCTGAATCCGGATGACAGCTCGGATAGTTTTGCAAATCTTCTTTAATGTCTGCATCACTTCTGAGACTGTCAGACTCCAAATGATTCCTTTCTTTTCCAATGCTTCTTGTTTCTTTCTTTTAAAGACGATCACATCTGATGTTAACAGATAGGGCGTCCTCAAAAGTGCCGTTTGAGTAGCATATTTAAATCCTTTTGTCGGAGATAAGACAGAATATTGTCTCTGCTGGGAATGAACAGTTGGTTTTAAGGGAGAGAGCGTTGGCAGGGTCAGTGTCGTGGCACTTGTTCATGTCGGAGGGAGCGCGGTGAAAACATCTTATCAGGAAATGAGGTTATTGCGGAGAAAATCCTCTAATTAGAGAGTGGGAAATGTGAGGTTATTCTGTGTGTACCAGGATCTCTTGCACACACACTCACAGTATTTGTCCTTTTTGTGCTTTGGCAGCTTTTCTCTAACAAGATGCATGTCCGTGCTTAAGTCCTAATGATGAATAATCAGGCCAGTAATGCATGCATCAATGTCATGTGATTCTAGGACACAGAGAGTAAAACATACCGTAAAGAATAATCACCACAATGGATATCCTATACTTGTTGCATGATTTTTAGCTATTGATATTTCTCCTAGATTCAGCAGCAGCTAATTTGCAACAGAAAATATTTTGAAGGAAACTTAATGGAGAGTGTTTTATGTTTCACATTAAGATAATCAGGACATGTTGTTAAAGGGGACACATTACATTATATTTTTATTTTCTTTAATTGCGTTTGTAACATTTAAAATATGTTGATACGGAACATAGCAAGTAAAAGGTTCACTGTCAGCCTTTTGTGTGAATATGGCAGTTATTTTCCCCAAACTATTATGCAAAGTATCCCAAACCTCAAAATTAACCAGTACATGTTTTTGTCTGTGTCTCAAAACAACTTAGCATAAATTAAAAAAGAAGCAATTTAGATTAACGCCATCAATAAAAGGACCACAGACGGACTGGGGAATTCAGAAAATATTTAGCGTCGGACTAATGCATAGTTTATTTTATATTTTTTCATGGCATTTGCTGGTAATAACAAAACCTTAGAATGTCCGCTGGCTTATCCTTTAAGACAAAATGTGAAGAAATAAGAACCAACCTCTACCTTTATTTCTCTCAGTGCAATGTCAATATGATGAAGTCCCAATTTGGCAAAAGCAAAGAAAGAACAGTTTTCTTTTAGCTAAATCCAGGGCCACTGTGAGGGCCCCTACACACGGCGGCGTGCGTTGAAGCTTGCCGGTAGGCATGTCTGACGCTCGACCAACAACCAATCACATGAATCTCCCGCCCCAGACACACAAGCAGCGGTTTGATTGGCTACGCTTTGCTCCCACAATGCAGTTCGGCGAAGCGTGACGTCACCCCATTCAAAGTGAATGGGCAGAAGCGTTGAAGCTTCAACGCACTCCACTGTGTGTAGGGGCCGTAAGGCACAGACGTTTCGTATCGTGTCTGCTTTGTTCTGTTGACCCTTAACACGTGCTAATGGCAGTAATCATCCCGGCCTCTCTGCTATAGGTTCAGTGTTTACCTCTTTAGCACATAAGGTACTATAGGGACACTAGAAAGCCCCAGTGCAGGGCTCTCTGTGTGGATTGCCTTCACAGAATTGATTTCCAATACATGCGTCAGCAGAGAGGGGGATGTGTGGCCGGGCAGCACGATGTTTAACCAGCAGAACAGTGTCAGGCCCACCTCAGATACATACGGTGGAGCGTGTAAATACAGAGCATTAGCACGCAACACTGTTTTGGTTTCTTAAGGTCTCAGGGGTGCAGTGATAATGTAGGCCCAACTGGAAATTACCCTCACAAGGGCTACCTCTGTAAAAAGAAACTGGATGTTTCAATTGGATTTGTGGATGTAGCACAAAATCAGATCCGTGGCAAGCAATCGTTTATCATACTTTTATTCAGCAGGATCATCTCCAAATATTAACGCTCCTTTTATAATAGTCGAAGCAAAAGCAATTGCTCGAAGTAAAAAGCTAACGGCTTTAAACAAACTACATCACGGTCACATGACTCCACGTAACCACGGCCTATGTTCCATGCAATAATGATGCTTAGTAGTTTCTCTAGCTACTTGTCAGCATCCGGCGCGTTACGATACGTAGAAGCTTCCACACAAATGGGGTATTTAGTGATGTAATCATTTACTAAAAATCAGGTTTTGTTGTTGTCGAACAAAACCTGATTTTATCGTCAAATTGTATTAACCACAGACCTTATTTCAGGGATCTAACAAAAAAACGAATTCAAAAAAGCCTTGAATTTGAGACAAGCTACCCAGAATTGCTAAAATGCTAACTCATTTCCAGATGTAGGACCAGGGCCGTCCCTCCCTACAGGCCGATCATGCAGACTGCGTGGGGCCTCACCTTGCGGAGGGTGCCTCAACTGAGCCGAAAATGCGCTTATGCGGCGCAATTGCTGTGGCGCGGCACGGTTTCGCTGCTGCGAGGCTCCACCAGCACCCGTCCCCGTCCCCCCGTCGACGCTCGCAAAACAGAGGGCCTCATCATATAACTTTGCGTGGGGCCTCATGTTGGCCAGGGACGGCCCTGTGTAGGACTCATTCCTGCACCACTCTATCTGCAGTTTATTTTTCAATCACCATTGGGATTTCGGTGCTCGTCGTTTGTGGTGAAATGAATAGGCTATCTTCTGCTTCTATAGTGCCTCTCTGTTTGATGTAACTCCAACACTTCTGCCATCAAATGCCTGTTTTCCATCCATCTCTCTCGTTCTCACTCTATTTCCCCTGCTCTATCTTCCTTCTTGTTATCCTGATTACCGCCACAGCATCAAAAAATTGCAAATAGTGTCCCGGAAACTGCTGCCGTCATGCTATACATTAGGGAGATGTGTGCCTACGAGGAAGGAGATGAAGAGGATGAATAAACCGGATCTGTCAGCAAAAGTATTCCACACATTTTACCTGATTAATATGAAAATACATGAGACACACCGCCATGATCGCATGACAAAATATGTCTCAGTTTTCTACCGCTTGTTGAAAGTGGAGATAGGCCCGTGTTTATGGAGGCAGTTGTTATAGACGGATGGCTGAATGTTCTCAGGATATCCTCACGTATGTTATGCTCTGTCGACGGCTTGATACGTATTTAAAATCCTCTCCTACCCTTGGACATATTCCTAAGAAAATAGCACATTTTAATGGAGCCTGTCGTTTCACAGCACACGCTCCTCTGCCATGTTTGTTTGTCTGTGTTATTAAGACACTATGTTGTTAAGGCAGTTTGCTGACATGTGGTTATTGGCTTGTAGAATGGGATGCTGTTTTTCTGAGCGGGTAAATCAGTGATGGTATGATGAAGCCTCTCACATAATCTTCTTCCACTCAACAGTTTGTTGCTCCGCTCACTGACTTTTAAATCAGACATATAATTCGGGGTTTAACTTTAAAAAGGTTCAAGATGGTCAGAAGTGCAGTCATTTCTTTTTTAAAGGGGCCCATTCTCATATCCCTCTGTCTGAAACCAGAGCCCAGTCTGCTCTGATTGGTTAGCTGGCCGTCTTTGTTGTGATCGATCAACTGCTTAGAGATGTCCCGCCCCTTAAACTATCACGTACAATGTGTTGGAGCACTAGCCAATAGAAGCTGAGTGTTACATAGTGATCACGGAAGTAAACAAAGGAGTCCAATTGAGGCGTTTCAGGTATGGGGGGGGATTGTGTGTGTGTGTGTGTGTGTGTGTGTGTGTGTGTGTGTGTGTGTGTGTGTGTGTGTGTGTGTGTGTGTGTGTGTGTGTGCGAGAGCGAGAGAGAGTCAAGCTGTAATGGCAATTGACAGTAAATTGGGCACTTGTTGCAGTTGACTTGCTCTTATTTTCTAACCTTTAAACAGGATACAAGACAAAATCGTAATAGCAAGCATTAAAAAAAAAGAAGTAACTGCAACCGATCAGCATATTCTTTTGATGAGAGGGACTGTCCTACTTACAACTACTTTTAATTAGCCGGCTCTCATTTCTGCGTGTGTCTCATGCAGCACTGAGACGAAACGTTTTCACACAACACACACACAAA